TCCTCCATCATCCATCCATTTCTTACTGCCCTCTCTTTTCTTCCTTCCCTTTTCTTCTTCCCTTCCTCCCCTCCTTCTTCCCCATCCACCTATTTATCTATCGAGCCATCTTCCTCCCTTCCTCCCTTCCCCCTCCCTTTCCTTCCCCATCCATTTATTTATCTATCTAGCCATCTTCCTTCCTTCCTTCCTTCCTTCCTTCCTTCCTTCCTTCCTTCCTTCCTTCCTTCCTTCCGCATCCACCTATTTATCTATCTAGCCATCTTCCTTCCTTCCTCGCCTTCCTTCCTTGCTTGCTTGCTTCCTTCCTTCCTTCCGCACCCACCTATTTATCTATCTAGCCATCTTCCTTCCTTCCTCCCTTGCCTTCCTTCCTTCCTTCCTCCCCTTCCTTCCTTCCTTCCGCATCCACCTATTTATCTATCTAGCCATCTTCCTTCCTTCCTTCCTCCCTCGCCTTCCTTCCTTCCTTCCTCCCCTTCCTTCCACCTATTTATCTATCTAGCCATCTTCCTTCCTTCCTCCCTCGCCTTCCTTCCTTCCTTTCTTCCTCCCCTTCCTTCCTTCCGCATCCACCTATCTAGCCATCTTCCTTCCTTCCTTCCTTCCTCCCTCGCCTTCCTTCCTTCCTTCCTTCCTTCCTTCCTTCCTTCCTTCCTTCCTTGTATCTTTGGACTTCCTTCTTTCCTTCCTCCCCTTCCTTCCTTCCACATCCACCTATTTATCTATCTAGCCATCTTCCTTCCTTCCTTCCCTCCCTCCTCCATTAAAATCAGAACTCGAAACTGAAGAGGACTCCTGTCTGCCAGCTATCTCCAGTTCCCAAGATCTCCAGCCAAACTGGTTTGGGAAAAGGAACGAAATCTGGGTGAGGCTTGAAACGCGCCACTGTCTGGGAGGGAAAAGGGACCGGAAAGGTGAGAGGAAGGATCCGAAGGCTGATCTCTGAATCAAAACAGGAGCCAAGACTTTGCTGTATTCCCCTCCTTCTCCTTTTTAACTCAACCAGGTAAGTGATTTTCCGTCTTCCTCCTCCTCCTCCTCCTCTTCACCGCAAATTGTTCCTTCCCTAAATCTCTTTGCAAAAGGAAGCGCAAGTGCCTAGCCTTCTTCGGCCCAAAATGCTTTACAAAGTTATTTGAAACTCGGCTTTGTTTCACCTACCTGGGTTCCCCAAAGCCATCGGACTCTTTAAAAAAATAAATCAGAATAATATCTTTGCAGAAAACTGCATCCTGGACTGTTATTCCCAGCCCGACACCCTCCTTTAAAAACCTTGAAATTCAATATACAAACTCATATATCAGTCGAGTGTCGCTCCGTTTCTCATTTCCCCCCAATAAAGAAATACCCTCAGTGTTGTTTTCCAAATTCTTGGCCCAAGAAAACTGCTTCTTAAAAAAAATAAATCAATTTTTTGCCTCCTAATTTCTTCCTCCTGTAATTCACGAATTTCGGGGATGTCCCTCTTTACGGCAACCCTTCCAACCTTTTCTTTAAAAAAAATTTTAAATTGTGAATTTTATTATAGGTAGTTAAGGCTAGAATTTGCATTGCAAAGCCGGGTGGATGTTCGGCGAGCCGCCCCCGATTTTACAACCATTTTTTTTGTCGTGGTTGTTAAGCGAATCCTTGCAGTCATTAAATGAATCCGGCTTGCTCCATTGACTTTGCTTGTCGGTAGATCGCAAATGGAGATTAAGGGACGCCCGGAGGCTACAACTGTCGTAAATACATAAATCCGCTATTTTGGAACATGCTGCGGATGCTATGACGGTTGTAAGAGCAAGGACAGCCCCACCCCCCAAGTTGCTTTCTTTCAGCGTTTCCATGACTTCTAATGGTCGCTAAATGAATAATGGAAGGTTGAGGAACTCCCGTCCCGTTCACAAGAGACGATGATGGCAATTGGGATGCAAATTTCATACCAAGAGGCAAAAGGGCGCAAAATTCGCGCCACGGAGGCCCATTGAGGAAGGCGCGATGTCCTTCTGGGACGACTTCCACTTGGCCATAAAACGGGCTCCTCCGTCTTCCTGCTTCTCCCCCAGAATCCAAGATGGATACCCCGCTTGAAGAAGCCCTGGGCGTGATGGTGGAAACCTTTTACAAATATTCAGCCAAAGAAGGAGACTGCTACAAGCTCAGCAAAACAGAGATAAAGGAGCTGCTTTTGGCGGAAATGCCCAATTTTGTCAAGGTGAGGCAGGGAGAGGAAGTGCTGTTTTTATTCATTTATTAAGGTTGGTTTTGACGCCTGTCCGCAAAGCATACAAACCAAGAAGGGTTTTATGCCATATCCGCCTTCCTTCCTTCCTTCCTTCCTTCCTTCCTTCCTTCCTTCCTTCCTCCCTTCCTCCTTCCTTCCCTTCCCCCCTCCTTCCCTCCCTTCCTCCCTCCTTCCCTCCCTCATTCCTTCCTTCATTCCTTCTTCCCTACAGCCTTCCTTACAATTTTCCTTCTTTCCTTCGTCCTTCCCTACCAATCTTCCTTCCTTCCTCTTTCCTTCCCTCCCTCCTTCCCTCTCCAATCTTCCTTCCTTCCCTCCTTCCTTTCCTTCCTTCCTTCCCCTCCAATCTTCCTTCCTTCCTTCCCCCTCCCTCCTTCCTTCCCCGTCCCTCTTCCATGACCTTCTTTCTCTCCATTTTTTCCTTCCTCCCTTCCTTCCCATCCACCTATTTATCTATCTAGTCTCCTTCCTTCCTTCCTTCCTTCCTTCCCTACCCTTCCCTTCCCTTCCCTTCCCTTCCCTTCCACCTATTTATCTATCTAGTCACTTTCCTTCCTTCCTTCATCACTGGAGCCTTTTAAGAAGAGATTGAACAGCCATTTGTCTAGAATGGTCTCGGGTCTCCTGCCTGAGCAGGGGGTTGGACTAGATGACCTCCAAGGTCCCTTCCAACTCTGTTCTTCTGCCATTCTATTATTCAGCATCCAGAGAGGCTTTGATTTTCGGGGGAGAGAAAAAATATATATTATATATTAAAATATATTATAATAAAGCTTATTCCAAGCTTTATTCCAACGTTCGCTTCTCTCCTGTTCACCTCACAGGGCAAGATCAACGAACGCGGTTTTGAATTCTTGATGAAGAAACTGGATGACAACGGAGATGAAGAGCTGGATTTCCAAGAATACGCCGTGTTTCTGGCGCTGGCGGCATCTCTCTGCTACGAATTCTTCCAGGAATGTGCGGACGAGAGCAACCGGAAGCTATGAAATGGAGGCTTTGGGGTGGGGGGCCTGGGCAGGAGGGAATTTGGGGTGTTACGTCTCTTGTGTGAGGACGTCTCTCCCTGCTAGCAAATAGAGATTATTATTTTTCCCAACACACAACCCTTGTCGATCGCAACCCATCTTTGGTTAACGAGTTTGGAAATGAATCTCTACTATGGCTGGCTTGCAAAATGTAGCAATGATGGATAAAATTGATGATGGATAAAAATTGATGATGGATAAAAATTGATGGATAAAAATGATGGATGAAATTGATGATCAATAAAAATTGATGGATAAAAATGAAGATGGATAAAAATTGGTGATCGATAAAATAGATGTTCAATAAAAAATGATGGATAAAAATGAAGTTGGATAAAAATTGATGACCGATAAAATTGATGTTCAATAAAAATTGATGGATAAAAATGAAGTTGGATAAAAATTGATGATGGATAAAAATTGATGATCGATAAAATTGATGATGGGTAAAAATGAAGTGACAATGGATAAAATTGGGCCTTTAAAACAAAAAACGAGTAGACACCACGTTAAAAATGGTATTTACTATTGTTTCCTTGCACTTACAATCTCGTAGTGTTCGAAATTCGGGCTGTTTAGCAACCGGCATGTATTTATACGAAGGTACCCGGAGCATCCCGGAGTTACATCATTCCTATTTCGCAACCTTTGGAACCGGCCTCTAGCAAGCAAAATCAACAAGCCAGATTCATTTAACAACCATGTGATTTGCTTAGTGACCATAATTCACTTAACCACCATGGCCAAAATGGTTTCAACATCAGCCCCGCCCCTATCTGGCTCCGTTCCCTTAAGCGCCGCATCGCTTAGCAACTGAAAATCCCACTCCCGAGCGCCGTCGTTAAGTCGAGGATTCGCCGTGCAGCCCAGCTCGGCGTTTTCAGAGTGCGAGATAAACACCGGGTGTCTCCAAGACAGGGTGTGTCGAAAACGATAGGTAGATCGTTGTGCATATTTGCCGGAACCTGCTTACACACTCAACAAAACAAGTGGAGAAGCCACCAACCACCACCGGCTGGAATTCTCCCTGTTTTCATTTTGCCTTTCCTGATGAATTCACCGCGGTGAATACCCTTCAAGCGGACGAGCCAGCTGGTACATGTATATTATTATTATTATTATTATTATTATTATTATTATTATTATTATTTTGTTCAAAAAGGATTGGGCGGGGAGAAACTAAGGCTATGGATGGTTGCCCTCTGAAGAGCGTGGAAGTTTTTATTTTTAATTTTTTGCAGAGAGGAAGGCAAAAAAACCAAAAAGAATCCAAAATAAACAAGGCAACCTTGAAAGCCGAAAACAAAACAAAAAATTTAAAGCGTTGTGTAGTTTTCCAGAAATCACAATCTGGCAGTTTGTACCACAAGGAAAGCAAGCGCCTGTGTTTATTATTTTAAATATCCCAAACGTTTGGGTTCTTCCTGGAATTGGGCGGCTTGCATTCAAAACTGCGAAATAAAATGAATTTAAACGTCCTTTTTGGCGAGGCCGTTCTGGAAGCGGCTGTCCAGAATGCCAATTCCACAACGTCCTTTTTCGACGAAAGTCAGCTCTTCAAGATTGGCAGAAAAAAAAGCAGAATTCTGATTTTTATCTGGAAGGATTAAAAGGGCGGATTGGCAGGAATCAAAACGAATTTCACAATGCCTTAAAGGTGAAATTTGCATTCTTTAAAAGTGAGGGTGTTTTTTCTTCTTCCCAGGGGTTGGATTTATTACGCTGATTTTCTGATCTGTTTGGACTTGTTTGATTTGGTGGCGATTCCTTGCAGGAAGGGGAGATATAAAAACCTAGTAAATAAATAAACCACAAGAGGTTTTTGTGGATTTTAAACCTCCTGGCAAAGCCAAGGCTGTCCTTATTTATTTACTGGAACAATACAACAAGGGACAAAAAAATTGTATTCACCGAAGCCGAGTTGCCGCAGAAAGTTTTACGTTTTAAATTTTAAGTTTACAGTTTTAAGTTTAAGTTTATAGTTTTAAGTAAGTTTTAAGTTCAAGTTTGTTTTAAACTTGTTTTAAGTTTACACTTTGCAGTTGAGTTTATAGTTTGTTTACAGTTTGGGGTAGTCCTTGACTTACGACAATTGGGACCAGAATTTTGGCTGCAGGTAGATTGTGAAGTGAATCACCCCAGATTTTAAGGCCTTTCCCCCCTCACGGTTGTGGTAAGCAAACGACTGCAGCTGTTAAGTGAACCATATAGTCATTAAGCGAATCCAGCTTCCCCTGTTGACTCTGCCGCAAACGGTGAACACGTGACTCCTGCGACCATCAAAAATACAAGGATTTTGAGCGTGTGACAGGAGGGATGCCACGAGGAGTGCGAGAACTGGGCCTAAGCCGCTGCTTTCAGCGCCATCGTAACTTCAGACGGTCGCTAGGCAAATGGTCGTTTAGCGGAAGACTGTTTCCTTGTCCCCGCAGGATGCCCGTGCCGCAGTGATGACGCGATTCCAGACGTTGGAGCAGGCTCTCGGGGAGGTCGTGTGCACCTTTCAACGCTACTGCCGGAAGGAAGGGGACCGCAACACGCTGAGCAAAAACCAGCTGCGCAGCCTCCTGCAGACCGAAATGCCCAGCCTGCAAACGGTGGGTCTAATTCCCAAAGTTTTTAAAAGTTTTTAAAAGTTTTTAAAAGTTTTTTAAAAAGTTTTTAAAAGTTTTTAAAAGTTTTCAAAAGTTTTTAAAGAGTTTTGGAGTTGTTTTAAAGTTTTAAGTCAGTTTTAAAGTTTTAAAGAATTTTAAAAAGTTTTAGAGTTTTTAAGTTTTAAAAAGTTTGTAAGTTTGTAAGTTTTAAGAAAGTTTTAAAGTTTGAAGTAAGTTTGAAGTAAGTTTTAAAGTTTGAAGCAAGTGTGAAGTAAATTTTAAGTAAGTTGTAAAGTTTTAAAAGTTTTTCAGTTAAATAAACACAGGTAGTCCTTGATTTACAACATTTCACTTCGTGGCCGTTCAAAGTTACAACGGCACTGAAGAAAAAAAATGACTTGGGACCACCGTTCACGCTTAACGACCAAGCCAGTCTCCCCCATGGTCATAGGATCAAAATTCAGACGCTCGCCAGCAGACTCGTATTTCTGACGGCTGCAGTGTCCCCGGGTCACTTCCCCCTCTGTTATTCTGTTATTCTTCTTTTATTTATTCTGCTTGAGTGGGGCGGGGGTGGACTAGAAGACCTCAAAGGTCCCTTCCAGCTTCTATTCTATTCTAAGGAGGTGAGGAAAAGGGGTCCCTTCTGCCCCCCAACCTAATTGCAAATCTCCATTTAATAATAATTGTGTGTATAATAATAATAATAATAATAATAATAATAATAATAATAATAATAAT